GAAAATTTCTTCTTAAAAAATGAATTTACAGTGATTCCTGACTCACGTACCAATTATTTTATAATTTATCGTTACGGGTATTTAAAACTGAATTCAGGAATAATACTGATAAATAGCATCCAAAAATATCCCCCAAATGTACTTAATGTATTAGCTTTAGTCTTTTTTCCATTCCCAAATCTTTTCCAAAGAAAAGTGAGATAAACTATTTCTTATTTAATTTGTTCTCTTTATCTTTCTCTATCTCTGAGGGGATTGCCAAGACTAAAGAAATAACTAAGGGACCAGCAGATGGTGTAATGGTTATGTTGCTGGACTCCCAGATGGCCAGTTGCATTTCAAGTTCCAGACCTGGAAGCTTGAAACTCACACCAGACGTGTGTGTGTGTGTGTGTGTGTAGATGCCCAAAATCCTGAGGAGAGAATGAGGGAGAAGGGACTGTGGTATGACCATCACCCTTGGTAGGGATGATTTCTCACTTTCTGTCTCTCTGTCTCTTCAGTGAGCACGTGCACCCTGGAGCACAAGTGTCTAAAACAAAAAGAGAAAGAAAGAAATAGCTAAATGGGCATAAAGCAAGAAATGCCTTGCGATGAATGATACACTAGCAGATTATCTAGAGTAGGAGTGACTTCTACATGCACAGTATTTTTATATAATACTGGATTTTCTAAAATATCAATTAAAATAGATTTGTATTCTACACCTGAACAGGTGCCCTATAGGTATGAACTACAATATAAAGTCATATAAACTACTATATGAGTTACAGCGCTCACCAATTTGAACAATCTCAAGTGACCCATAGTTGTATGTCAGTTTGCTGAGATATGATCTGAGCAACTAAGGGACAGCCAGTCAATTTGCCTATAAGAAAACCCAGCAGATGACCCAGCAGCCAGCCATGTCTTCACTCAGCCTTGTTGCTAGGTTTTGCTTGTTGTGGCATGTGAAATTTAGGATGAAAATCAGATGCTATCGGTGTCCTTTTTAGTTTGGAAGTTCAAAATGGTCTCAGGAAGAAGTGCCACCGATAATCCATGATCTACTGCAGTCTGTGTGCTTGTACCTGGTCTCACATCCTCAGATACGACTGGCAGACTGAGTAGAAAATGGCGTTGGATAATTACAGACTCTGTCATCTACAGTATAATAGGATCCTGTATTATATAAACATGAATTTTTTTTTATTTGTCAAGTAAGGCAAACAGAATCTAAAATAGGGGTCCATTGAAAGAGTAGTTCAATATTTTCAAATAGTATCATTGCAGGCTTTTCTGTGTGACTGGATCAGGCCTATTACAGTGTTCTATACAAGGCTGATGCTTTGGCCTTCCATTTACCCATTCTCTTTTACGTCTGTCTCACTACATCTAATATAATAATAATAATAATAATATAATAATAATGATTAATGATTATAACAATTTATAATATTTAAATACTGTCACAACTCCTTGAATTTGTCTCCATAACAGTTTAGTAAAGAACAGCTTAGTAATTGGAAAAGCAGATGGAGTTCATTAAGTATCTCTTTAGTATGCTTTATTATTATTTGGACATTTGTTAATTTCAAAACATGCCAATTTTTTAAAGAATTATTTTTTATTTTAGATTTATTTATTTATTTTAATTTGACCAGAGAGGGACAGAGTGAGAGTAAGAGAGAGAGACAGAGAGAGAGAGAGAGAGAAAGCCGCCAGGTCCCAGACTCAAACTGCGGTCGGCCATGTGAGAGTCCAGCACCCTTAATCACCATGCTACATGCCAGCCCAAAAACATGCCAGTTTTTATAGTTTCACATGTCATAACACATAATTGCTAGAACACATTTAAACACTCTTTATTGCATATAAACATATATAACATATAAACATATATATAATTGTATATATAAATGTAATTATCACATTTACATTATTATTTCTATACTTTTTTCCTATACATAATATTAAGACTTAAAATATAGTGATATTTGGGGCCAGCAGGTGGTGTGGTGGTTAAGGGTGCTGGACTCCCACATAGCAAACCAAGGTTCAAGTCTTGGACCTGGTGTCTTGTTTTCTCACTTTCTCTCTCTCTCTCTGGTCAAAATAAAAATAAATAAATAAAGTTCAATAAAAATTAAAAAAATATGTAGTGATATTTCTGGACTAAATATGTTGCTTCGGTTTTAATAATAAAATAACATTGTCCAAAGTATCTATTTTCTTAAAGTTTATTTCATGAGAGACAGAGAAAAACAAAGGGAGAGGAGAGAAAAGCCCTTCAACAGAGTTTCACACCACGATACCTCAAGTCCTCCAAGTCATCCTAGATCAAGGGCAAGCCTGATGCTTTCAGCATGTACAGGTCAACCTGGGTGCAGTGGTAAAACACAATGCTCTTTGAGGCAATCACACATGGGAAGTTCCCAGTTCAAGACCGAAGACTTCACTGAGAGCAATAGGCACGTATTTGTCCATGATCTGGGGCTGGCTGCAGGCCATTTGGTGGCATCAAGACCTTGTTGGGAGCACTGTCTCTCTCTCTCTCACACTCATGGTAAAAATAAATATATACACTTTTTAAAAATGCATAGAAGCAGGAAATTTACCTCATGTTTCTTAGACATGACCATCACCAATTACTAATTTTTTTAAACTCATGATAGAGTATAGCTTATGCATGGAATACAGAGAGAAGCACCCTCAACAAAGTATCATCACACCTCAATTCCCTTCCCCTTTCCCCAGCCCTCCAGCTTGTCTGAATCAGATGGAGTTCATTAAGTATCTCTTCAGTATGCTTTATTATTATTTGGACATTTGTTAATATCAAAACATGCCAATTATTTAAAGAATTATTTTTTATTTTAAATTTATTTATTTATTTTAATAAATAGACACATATGCATGTAGGCCCAGTCTGGTTTTGGACCAACCTGGTAATCTCAACATGTGATTGACCATTGTGGATTCTGGTTCTGCAATTCAGCACACTACAAATCGCACCATCAAGGCAGGGCCAATAACTATATAATAATGAGAATGTTGATATCATTGTGCCTTCCAGTTATAAAGAAGTTATCGCTGCCCCATTTTATCACTAGGGCTTGATGCTTAGACAAAGATGCTGATGTCCAACATCACAAAAGATTTATGGTCTGGAGAAGCTAGGATTTGAGCTCAACTCTGTGACACTACAATCCTTGTTTCTAAACACCATGCATCGGAACTTGACTTGTGCAGAGAAGTGAAACATTATGAAAATTACATCTTTGTTCTACATTTAGAAGTGAGGTAGCTTGGGGATGGTTTACATTTCGTTTCATTTATAAATATCTTGGGCAATTTTAGTTTGTGAAAAGAGAGTAGGCAGGGGAGGAAGATCTACAAGCTTATCTGCCCAGCCACAATAAGCAGGATCTTTAGTTTGACCTTTCACTGTCAGCCATTTCCTTATCCTCTTGTCTATGTGTCAGTCACTTCTAAGATGGAAACGAGGCGAGGTTTTATTGACATCAGATTTATTGCTAAACATAAACCACATTGGCTAAGATACTATCTTATCTCTTCAAGAAAGCCTATTTTGGCCCACGTTACCTCTCTGTTCTTGAATTTGCAGTGAAATCCATGACCATTTCTGGATGAATTTTGTGCTATTCTATTTCTAAGAAAAAGTACCTAGAAAATTGGCCATGTATTTGGTTTTCTTCCAACAAATGTGTATAGTCTCAATCTTCAAACTTCATAAAAGAATTTGTTTTTTTGTCATCACTTAAATATAAATGATCAAATATTCAGGAAAGGAGAGGCTGCTCCAGACTTGCTCCACTGTTTAAGAACCAACACCTTGGAGCCAGCAAGTGATGTAGTGGTTAAGGTACTGGACTCCCACATGGCCAATTGTAGTTTGAGTCCTGGGCCTGACAGCTTGAAATTCACACAAGGCACGTGTGTGTGTGTGTGTGTGTGTGTGTGTGTGTGTGCATCCAAAATCCCAGGAGCAGAATGGAGGAGAAGGAATTGTGGTGTGGCCATCCCCTGGGTGGTGATTTCTCACTTTCCCTCTCACTGTCTCTGTTTCTGTCTCTCTCTCACAAACCTAAAAAATAATACTAATAATGAAAAAGGAACCAACACTTCATTCCTTCAGCCCTAGAGCAGAGATAGAAGGAGCAACAGGAAGGCCCAAGCTGCTTGGCTTGAGCTCATCAGGGTCCCCAGCCCAACCTCCTGTGGGGAAGGAGGGCCTGCTCTAGCCTTGCTTTGATCCTCCAAACTCAGCACCTGGTTCCTGCAATCCCAGAGAAAGAAGAGCAAGCACAAATGTGCTGCATGAAGTGGTCTACCACCTTACACCCTACCTGTCCAATGCAACCTCCAGCCATGCTGGGAGCAGAATGGCTTGGTAGTACAGGGCCCAAACACCTGAAGACAGGAGACTCTGGAGGAATTCTCTCTCCCAGCCCCCCTGTAGCAGTACAAGGAGAGAAACTTCCCTTCAAAAATTTGAACCCAATACTCCTACTGTGGATTCCACACTCCCACCCACAGTGGAAGAGAGAAAGTGGCCCAGAGCGAACACATACCACAGGGAAGGGCATGAGCACCCAGCTACAGAAACATACTCCACAGAGACGGGAAGAAGTGTGTATTTTACCAGATGACTAAAAATCAAAGCAGAACCCAAAGAAATAGAAAACCAGGCAATACCTCCCCCTCAAGGGAGCATAACAACATCTCACCAATATTGAATAAAACACAAGAGATCACAGAAGTGTCAGAAAAACAATTCAACACATTCATTGTAACAAAACTCAGTGAGATACAAGAGAAAGCAGACAACCAATTCCAGGAGATGAAAAAATCCTTTTATAATTGGTAGGAGGAACTCCATAAAAAGATAAACACCGTGAAAAGAAACCGGATAGAACTTCTGGAGATAAAGAATACGATGCAGGAAGTCAAAGCCTACCTTATCATATTCTTTTTGTGCTTCCCACTTTAAATACTAGAGTGAAGAAGGAGCCCCCCAGGAAGGAATTCTGGAAGATATGCCTGTGGATCCTGACAATGAGGCTTATGAAATGCCTTCTGAGGTAAAAATCTATGCACATTAAACTGCAGAGGTAATGTCTAGGAGTTCCAGTGGGGTCTTTCTAATAGACAGTGTCAAAGTATGTCACTGTCAGATCTTCCTTTTATTAGTCCTTAGTGAATGTTACTTGTTCTCTACACGTAGAAGTGGCCAAAGTCACAACATGTACTGCGTGGACCACTTGCAAGCTAAGAATGATGTTTACATCTTGTAACGGGTTGTAAAAGCCAGAGTAGGAGGTTCATGGTGTCACTCTGCCCTATAAATTTTCAATGAACTTTAACTTTTTATAACTTCCTTGCCGGAATAAATGCAAGGATCAAAAGGCATTTGATGAAGAACACTAATAAAGCCTCCATATGATTATTATGTGACAAAGAACGCATGTCATATGTGTGAGGGAGACCATATGTGGATGGTCGTATGGAAGAGGGTATGTGACAGAGACCATATGCGGTGCACACGACCTACAATGTTTGCTGCCTGCCCCTTTTCAGAAAAAGTTTGCTGACTCCTGCATTAGAAATCTTTTGTTCTGGGGACCAGCAGATGGCATAGCGATTACGTCACTGGACTCCCACGTAGTTGACAGTGGTTCAAGTCCTGTACCCGGCAGCTTAAAACTCACACTGGGTGCATGTACATGAATGACCAAAATCCTGAGAGGAGAATAAAGGAGAAGGAATTGCAGCATGGCCATCCCCCCTGGGGGAATGACTTCTGCTTTCTGTCTCTGTCTCGTGTGAGTGCACATGCCTTATAGAAAAAAAATTCTCTTTAAAAAAAATTAGAGACCAGCAGACAGTTATGTTGCTGGACTCCCACATAGCTGGCCATGGTTCTATTCCCAGACCTGGTGGCTTGAAACTCATGCTGGGCACTTGTGCATGCCTGCCCAAAATCCCAAGAGGAGAAGGGATTGTCATTTGGCCATCCCCCTGGGTGGGGGTGGGTGATTTCCCACTTTCTGTCTCTCTGTCTCTGGTGAGTGCACACACCCTAAAGCAAAAATATCTTTTAAAAAAAATTAAAAAAAAAAAACCGAAACCTGTATTCTAAAGTAAATTCCAAAATAATGGAAAGTTAATCAACCAAATGTCAAAGGAAGGAAGATAATTATTTTTGCCATACACTTACAGTGGAATTTCTGTATAGTAAAATAAAAGTTACTTACAAAAATTATAGACTAGAAGGATGAATGCATGATTTACAATTGATTTATTTCAGCTTAGCATTTTAAATAGCATAATTTGATAGTTAATTCTATTCTGATTTAAAAAATAAATTTTTCTTTCATAGAAAATGTATCAAAATCTCAATTTTTTTATTGCTGCTCTTCAGAAGTTGTGAGTGATTTATCACCTACTTTCAGATTTTTAGACTCAAGAAGAAATTTTAAAGATCTAAAAAGGGAACTAGCAGTTAGCGTAATGGCTATGTCGCTGGACTCCCACGTAGTCGACCGCAGTTCGCGTCCCGGACCCGGTGGCTTAAAACTCACACCGGGTGCGTGTGCGTGTGTGCCCAAGATCCTGAGAGGAGAATGGAGGATAAGGGATTGTGGCATGGCCATCCCCCCTGGGGGGGGATTTCTGGCTTTTTGTCTCTATGCTTTCCTTTGC